GGGGGTAGGGACAGAGAGCCTGGGGGGGCAAGCAGGGAAGAGTTGAAGGTGCTTGCCCTCAGCAGTAGCATGGTGTGTGCGTGTGTGTGTGTGTGTGTGTGCTCATGTTCACAGAATAACATTGAGTTAGCAAGAGCTCTATGTAATTGATAATAGCAAAGAGCATTTTAATGGGAAGAAAGACGGAGAGGGGCCTCTGGCACTACCAGATACCGAAACAGAGCATGAAGCCACAAGGTCAAAGTGCTTTCTTCTGTAGGAATGGAGAGTTCAGAGGCAGACTCAGAATGACAGGTTTCCAGGGGTAGAGGTTTGCAAGCAGCCTGATGAGAAAAGAGCATTCCTGACCTCATCCCCCAGCAGCCCGGGAGTCCAGGAGACAGTGCCTAGACCGGTAATCCCATCAGCCCCTGGGGAGCCAAGATCTGAAAGAACACATTCTCCTCCACAGGGGAGCTTGTTTCTGAATTACAGGAATATGCTGAAGCAAAAGGCTTCTTCATAGATGCACAGCCTAATAAAATGCTGACTGATTCTCTGGACAACATAAGGGGCCCTAACTTCATCAGAGTTCTCTCTTGCTGAAAAGTGAGTCAGTGAAAGAAGTACCCAGACCTACGGCAGAAGTTCAGCTTACCCGGGAAGTCAGATATATGTGTGTGCATATACATATGTATCTATATATCTATATCTATATCTATATCTATATCTATATCTATATCTATATATCTCTATCTATCTATATCTGTATCTATATAACTATAGATAGGTAATATCAAAATAACATACATTAAGATGTATGAAGATAATATATAAGATACATATATAAAGATACAATATATTAAATAATATATATTAACTACATATATTATGATATATATGGTAAATAGCAAAGCCATGGAAAATGTGGTAGCTTTTTCTACATAAAAACTAAAACTCTATCATAGCCAACTTCACACACTAACAAAGCAAAAAGAAGGCAGGAGAATTGGGAGAGCAATCTATGAAATGTTTGAGACAGGAGTATAATATTTTCTAAATGTAAGACATTTAAATATCAATGACAAATAACCACATCTAGAAAAACAGGCACCGGGCGCTCAGCCTCTGATCACAAAAGGAGAGTCAGTGATGCATATGAAACACTCGGCAGGTTACGTCCTCTGACCCAGCAAGGCCGACTCAAGATGTTTGTCCGAAGCAAGAATAAATTTAGTAAAGATGTGTGTCTAAAAATGTGCAAGTGTTTACTACAGCGTTATTTTTAGTAACAGGAATTGGAAACAGTCTCTATTCGTATCTTGGAGGACGAGTTCAACTCGCTGTGGTAAATGCAGAGAACGGAATGTCCCCGCCCTTCAGTGGGTGTGCAGGTCCACATTTAGACACGTGAGAGTCTGTGATATATGATGTGAAGCACCTTTTTCAGTGCCATTGAAATAAGACAACGCACGAAGCACCTGGACAGTGCTCCTACCTGGCCAGGAGCCCACGCCCAGCCTCTCACCTGGAGGTAGCATTGCAGGCTCAGGTGGCTGTGGCAGGCTCCCTTGGGTGCACCCTCTTCTTCCTCCTGTTTACAGCCTTCCCTGGCTGATGGTCTCAAGGCTTCAAGGACAGAAATACTTGCAGGAACATTTTCAGGACTCCTGACCTCGAGTATCAAGCCTGAGGAGTAGGAAGTTCTTTAGAAATTTGTTCTCAGTGACACCAGGAAACAGCAGACAGGCACGGAGGAGGGACAGGGGCTTGCTGATGACTTCTATCTCTTCCCCCCAGCCATCCGCTGACAGCTCATTCCTTTCTCCTCTAGAACTCACATGACTTTGATGCTTTTCCCTCTGCATTGTGGTTAGTTAGTGAGAAGAGAGCCCCGCCTCCACTGTAAGCAAAAGAATGTGGGCTTTGCAGAGACTTAAGTTCAAATCCCAGCCCACCTTGACTCATTGTGGAGCCTCCAGTGGCAGCACTTTCATGGCAGCACAGACCCTACAGAGCCAGGGTGGGCACCCAGGTAGGCAGACCCCACCCTGGGGTCCCCCTGCCAAGTGTGCCCCACCCTTGGTAGGACTCAGCAGGGACCTTTCTCTAGAGAATGAGAAATAAGCTGAAAACAAACTCGGGCTCTCTCCTAACTCAAACTCAAGCCTACGATTGGGCATGCGGAGTGTGAAATCTGACACATTTGGCTCATTGAAGTCACTTTACTAAGTTTCCCATTTGCTTACATCTCTGCAACCACTTTTTCCTCTCCTCCCACTCCTGAAGTCACACTCCCTGATCTCTAGGAACCTTTTCAAGTCTCCCTTCCTGTAATGTTTCTCTTCCTCCTGAGCACCAGCTCACCATTCTCTCCCTTCATCTCCTCCCAGAGGAACCATTCCACCACTTCAGTGCCCTGAACAGAAAGCTGAGATGTTCTCCAAGTTCCAAGTTGCACAACCATGGGCACGACTACGTAAACAGACATTCCTTTACCAACATCGATCAGATTTTAGATCTCTGCATAAACAAACTGGAACTCTTTATCTTCCTGCACTTATGAAAACCAGAAATTAAAATATCTGTTATCTTTTAACTGGAATGCTAAGATCCTCTGGCTCACAGATTACCATCCAGGTTGCATTTCATTCATGGAGGCTACAAAATCCATTTCCCTCCTGCTGAAGCCCACCCTTGACGTCATCTCTGAGTCACCTTTTTTAACCCCTCATATTCACTCACTACATACTGAAATGTGCAAGAAACTATTTTTAAAAGCAGCCTCTCCACCTGCATGCTCCCCATCCTGGTCCCCAAAGCACCCATGTGGGTCCAGAGAGGCGCCTGCTGGCTCCCCAGCACCTGCCCTTGGGTGCACTTTCCTAAGAATGACTTTCTGAGTGACGACGTTGGCAGGTGCTTTTCCGGTCACCTCACTCAGTCCTTAGACATAAACATCACAGGGAGTGACTACTGGATCCTACTACGTGCCTGACACTTCTCTGATGCTTTACATGTTTCATTCATTAACTTTTTAAAAACCTTAGACAATGGGAATGGCTCTCACATTTGAGGACATGGGGAGGGGTGCTGAGGAAGGAGGGTCTGCGCCTGATTGGGGGCTGTGCCTTCATGAGCGGGGGTGGGAATGGAGAGAGTCTCAGGATGCAGTTGGTGCAGGAGCAGCCATCACCCTGCAGAGCTGCAGAGGGGTGGGTGTGGTTTGAGGAAACTGAGTAGTTAAGCAATTTGCCCAATGTCCCCACAACATTTTGTAGCGAAATCAGGATTTGAACCCAGATGTTTGATGGTAGAGCCTACACTTTCACCTCAACAACTCACAGCAGCAAAGAAGCCAACTGAACTTAGGTGAACCCACGGTTTCTCAAACCAAGGTGGGCGGGGCGGAGTGCCAGGCAATGCCCCAGCGAAGGAAATTGGAAGGAGCTAACAAAACTACATATGCATGTGCCCTTGGACCCAGCAATTCTACTCCTAGGAGTTGTTTGTGAACATGGATTTCCACAAGTACAACTCAACATAGGAACAGGTTTTGAATAACGGTGGCACTATTTATAACAGCAAAACATGGGGAGCAGCTTAATACTCACCCATGAGAAGCTAGCTGAATAAACTGAGGTATATCCATGTAATGGGATACTAAAAAGAGGGAGGAAGAGCCCTCTGAACTCAGAGAGTGACTTCTGGGATATATTTTAAATTTATTTTAAAATTATATATTTAAAAAAGTATAGAAGAGTGTGTACAGCATGCTGCCCTTTCTATAAGAAAAAGATACTTTAAGAAAAAAGAAGTATAACTGTATCTATTTCCTTATTTTTGTAAGAAGTGATCTAGAAGAAGTAAATCATAAACCAATGACAACATTTGCATGTGGGGTTGGTGGGAAGTGGGTGGGGTGTACAGATAGGAATGGCACTTCTCTGAGCGTACCTCTTTATGTGATTTTGACTTGAGTTATGTACGTGTTTTATATAGTCAAAAGACAACATAAATAAAAGGATGAAAAAAATCAAACTAAAATTTACTACAAACAAAAACATTAACTATACACCAAGGATATAACCACACAGGGGGGAAAAAAAGAATCCCAGCCAATTTGGAACTCAGATCTCTGTAAACTTTAGTGCTAAGGCCATATTCTAAACACCAAAATAATTGCAAAAAGAAAAGAAAACAATATGCCAAAAAAAAAAAGCAATCTTGGACTTTACTTAGTAGTAAAGTAGGACCAGCTTGTTGGTTGTGGCCCTCGTCACTCATCTAGTGATTCTAAAACTATTCTGTGGGAGTTGTAGGGCAGAGGAAACAAGTAGATATGTTTACTCTGGTGTAGAGAACCAGGAGTCTCACTGTGAGGAAGATACACAAATACGGAGTGTGGAAAGGAGAAGAGGAACTCTGTGTTCCTGGGCTAATACTGACATTATCAGGGTGAACTTGTGGGGGCTACAAACGTGTTTCCTAGCTCTGCGCACTTTTGATGGGCCCAGAGCAGTGACAGCCCAGTAGGCACGCACACACCCACCCACCGCCCACCCCGGCTTGGTTTCTAGACCACATCCTCTAGCAAAGAACCCGGGCTCCTTGAGAAACTGCTGACTGTGGCTGGGACAAGGAAAAGGCAGGACCCCTCTCTAACTCTGTCTGGGCCCAAAGTAAAAAGTCCCTGTGCAAAGCACACCGAGCACCGACCCCGCTGCAGCTCAGCAGGTGTCGGCTGCTTCTGCACCAACTGCAACCTCGGCCTCTCTGCACCCCCACCTCCCTTCATGAAGACACTGCACCCAATCTGGAGCAGACTCTCCTTCCTCGACACCCCTCCCCAGCTCCTCACCAAGTTAAAGTCTACAACTAACAGCTCCGACAGCAGTGCCCTGCGCTTTACCATCGTGGGTGGGCAGCAAGTGTCAAACACCCAACTTTGTTGTACTCCCGGCTGTGTTTCTGGTCTTGAATGAGGGGTCAACACCCCCATCCCAGAACCCCTCCCCCACACATACACATGAGATAAACCATGTGTAAGTTTATGCTCTGAAACACTTTTTGATGATGATGGTGCTGGACCACGCTTCTGGAGCCTCTTCTGAGATTCATACAGCAGATGGCCTCTCACAACACATTCCACCTGGTGCCTTCCACCTCGCTCTGCTGGTCCCTCGTTCTCAAATCTCTGTTCTTTCTTATGCCACATTCCTAAATAACAAGCCTGTTCCATTCCTTCTTGGTTTCTCTACTTTGCACATTATCCTTTGCCCTCTTTTAGTATAGTGTCTCTTGTATATGTGAAAGGAAGGTCTGTTCAAACTCAGACCAGGCAAACAGTGATGGCGCGATTGTTCAGAAATGAGAGTGCACCTTCTCCTAAGCTATCTGACCCTCATCGGACACTCTGGGGATGGAGCCTCGTTCACAAAATACTGCACAGTCCATAGTAGATGAGGTGTCTTCTTTCACGAACGTCCACGTTACTTCCTTCTCCCACCCTCATGACTTTTTAAAGTTGACATTATTGGAGACATCATCATGATATGTAAATGCTGATCACTCCTTTTGTTGTTGTTGTTGTTAATTCTCACCCAAAGGTATTTTTTCCATTGATTTTTTTTAGAGAGAATGGAAAGGCAGAAGGGGGAGAGAAACATTGATATGAGAGAGACATATCAGTTGGTTGCCTCCCACACCCACTCTGACCAGGGCCAGGAATCAAACCTGCAACCCAGGTAATTGATCTTGACTGGGAATCAAACCTTTGGTGCCCAGGCCAATGCTCTAACTACTGAGAACACCTGCCATGGCTTTTCATCCCTTTCTTGAACAGGGTATTTTTGCTTTTGTTTTTGTTTTATTGCCACGTGCCATCCCGCCTCTTCTTAAACATGGGGCATTCTCTGGCCACGGTGTCCACACCATGAACACCAGGCTCGTGAATCCCCCTGCAAATATCCCAGCGTGGTTTTGCAGCAAGAACCACAGCTGGAAGGGCATGAGCCCTGCTGAGGATGAGGAATCATCCTGAAATCCACGCAGCTCACCACAGTATGTCTGGACAAAGGACTGATGCAGCCCTGAACTTGAGTCTACTTGAACTGTTAGTCTCAACCACGTGTCTTTGTTAGGTGGGGCCACTAAAGAGGAGCTGGGTTTGGGACCCTCACTGTTTAAGTAAATCTGGCACTAGATAAGACATGAATTCCCTCCTCATATTACCAACAGATGGGAGAAAAGAGCCTGCACCACTTTTATGTGGCTCTGTACACACAGGGTTACCTTAATTTTGGAGTGCTCGAAATATATCAGCAGCATTCTATATTTGATCACATGATGGACACAGAGACTTCTTTTACTTTAGCAACCACAGAATGAAGTTGGATTACTTCTCTGAGGCCGAAGATCTGAGGCCCTTGGAGAGGAGGTGGAGGCAAAGAATGAAGAAGGACCATTACTGAGTGTGCTCTAGTGCTGGCCATCACGAAGTGCACTCAGCTAGGCTGCAATTTTGACAAGGTCTGCTGGTGTGAGGGCAAAATTTTTGTCCACTGAAGATTTGAAAACATTTTAGAAGAGCTGATGAACATAAACTCCTTATAGTATAGTTTTATTCCTTTTCAACGTCAATCACTTCTCTCTTCATTAGTTCTTAATTCACATAAACCTCCATAAAAATCTACGGACAAGAAGACCCAAAAAATTCTCCAGAGTTTTTGGGGCTTCTGCAATCCTCATACATCCAGCTGTAACTGTCAATCACT